GGAGGATGAATTTTGGAGTTAAAAGTAACTTTTAGGCTTTGCTAGTAGCAAAAGAAGTTGAGCCCTGGTCTGCAGAACCCATCAATAGTATTATTTTTCCCTTAAAGGACCACTATAGGCACACAGACCACTTCAGCTTAATGAAGTGGTTTGGGTGCCAGGTCCAGCTAGGTTTAACCCTTTTTTCTATAAACATAGCAGTTTCAGAGAAACTGCTGTGTTTATAATAGGGTTAATCCAGCCTCTAGTGGCTCTCATTGACAGCCGCTAGAGGCGCTTCCACACTTCTCACTGTAATTTTCACAGTGAGAAGACGCCAGCGTCCATAGGAAAGCATTGTGAATGCGCATGCAGCCGAGGAGGAGGAGAGCTCCCCACCCAGCGCTGGAGAAAGAGGTTAATTTAACCCCTTCCTCACCCTATAGCCCGGCGGGAGGGGGGCCCTGAGGGTGGGGGCACCCTCAGGACACTATAGTGCCAGGAAAACGAGTATGTTTTCCTGGCACTATAGTGGTTCTTTAATACGTGCTTCTTATCTTTATTTTTTATTACTTTATTTTTTAAAGTTAGGGGTCTTTTACTCTTAGGGTTGCCCAAGGAAAAATGTATTATTATAGCGATAGTGATATAATAGTAAAGGAGTTGCAGAGACAGAATTGCACTGTTTCCCCAGCCCCTCTCGTGGAATATCATTATTTGGAGGCACTCAATTAGTGGTGGCAGATGCTCTCCAGAACTAAAACTCTCACCAATATGTGGGAGTGCTGCACTAACTGCAGTGTTTGCCTTGAAGGTTTTATCACACCTCTAGTGACTGTGACAGCCAGTGGAGGCACTTCCACTTCACTGAGTAGACGTCCCCATACGCAGACGTCCCCATAGGAATGCAAATTAAAAATGCTGCAGTTATGAGCAAAAATACCTGTTGACTAAGAAAAAAGAATCCTAATCCGTGTTGCCACTAGGTAGACCTGACTGTACTACAAAAAATTAATTATAAAATATGGGGTTGTTCCCAGGTCCTAAATGTGTATGGACTAGCATAACTCTGCAGTGCGGTGGTAGAGAATGGCAAAGATCCGCAGTAATTATGGATTCCTACCACGCATAGAAAAACCAAGCTCAAGGCTGCATCAGGTGCGGTGAGGTGGTAGGTAATAGTACTGGATAGAGAGCAATAAAATCATCTACCTCTGTGACCTGGAGTGGGAGGTTATATGTTTTTTTTGATAGAGACCTGTTTATGTCAGTACCTGTGTAGATTAGGGCAAAGAGAACACTAAGCCTACTGGCAGCGAACCTGTGAAGACTCCACCTCACATATACAAAACAAGTGGATGCCAAGTTAATATACCTACCCCAACCCCTTTCCTACCATCTTGGGCATTTTATTTTTAATAAACCCATTCCCACTAAATAAAGCAATAAAAACATATATTAATCCACAGGTAGAACCTATACCTAACCCTTCAACCTCTTTGCAAGCAAAATATAAAAAAATAAATCACCCCCATTTTCTAATTTGTTTTGATAAGCAGGCATAATAAATTATCATAAACGTCCTTTATTCTACCCAATAGTAAGCCTTGTAAAAATTAATACATATATACACTATATGGACAAAAGTATTGGGACACACCTCTTAATTATTAAATTCAGGTATTTCAAAAAGACTCATTGCCACAGGTGTATAAAATCATTCACCTAACTATGCAGTCTGCATTATCAAATATTTGTGGGGTGGAAAATTGGCAGTTCTAAAGAGATCAGTGAATTCATACTGTGATAAGATGCCACGTTTGCAATAATAAGCAAATATAAGTCAGAGCGTGACATTTTATCCCTCCTAAATATTCTACGGTCAACTGCAAGTGGTATTATTGGAAGCGTTTAGGAACAGCAGCAACTAAGCCATGAAATGGAAGACCACGTAAAGTCACAGAGCGGGGACAACGAGTGCTGAGGTGCATGGCGCCCAAAAGTTGCCAACCCTCTGCTGATTTCATATCTGGAGATTTCCAAACTTCCACCGGCATTAATATCAGCACAGAAACTGTGCGGCTGGAACTTTATGGAATGGGTGTCCATGGTCGAGCAGCTGCTGGAGCAGTGGAAACATGTTCTGTGGAGTGACGAATCACACTTCTTTGTTTGGCAGTCTGATGGACGAGTCTGGTTTGGTGGATGCCAGGAGAACGTTGCCTGCCTGACTGTACTGCGCCAACTGTAAAGCTTGGTGGATGATGGATAATGGTATGTGGCAGTTTTTCAGGGGTTGGGCTAGATCCCTTACTTCCAGTGAAGGGAAATCTTAATGCTTCAGCATACCAAGACATTTTAGACAATGCTATGCTCCCAACTTTGTGGGAACAGTTTGGAGAAAGCCCTTTTGTATTCCAGCATGACTGTGCCCGAGTGCACAAAGCAAAGTCCATAAAGACATGATTGGATGAGTTTGGGGTGGAAGATCTTGACTAGCCCTTTTGACCTCATTCCCATCGAACACCTTTGGGATGAACTGGTACAGAGATTGCGAGCCAGGCCTTTTCGTCTGACATCATTGCCTGACCTCACAAATGCCATACTTAATTAATTTGCAAAAATTCCCACAGAAGCACTTAAAATCTTGTGGAAAGCCTTCCCAGAGGAGTGAAAGCTGATATAGCTTCCCTGTTGGTGTAATAGTCAGGTGTCCTTATACTTTTGTCCATATAGTGTGTGTGTATGTGTGTGTGTGTGTGTGTGTGTGTGTGTATATATACATATATATATATTATAGATAGAGTCAAATCATTGGCATGCATCAAGCAGAGAAAATATTTAAGGAGATAGCAGAAACTACTAAAATTGGGTTAAGATCTGTCCAATGCATTATTAAAAACTGGAAGGATAGTGGGGATTTACCCTGTTCCAGAGTGATGGGCGCATTAGGGTAAGAAGAAAGGCAGATGAAGTGATGCACCCCATAGGGATTGACCGATTATCGGCCGATATTTGGCATTATCGTTATCGGCCTATAGAGATACCAATAGTGCCAATAATACAGACCAGGACCGCCGGGCCCATGACGAGCCCGGAGGTCCTGGAGGGCCCACAGCAAGCTCTTACCTTCCTAGAAGCTCCCTTCAATTCCCCGGTCTAAATCTTGCGAGTCCCGCGGCCGTTAGAGCGTTGCCACGTGTTACCATGGCAATGCTCCGCACGGCACACTGGCCGCGAGATTTAGGCAAAAAATGAAATATTAAAAAAATAAATAAATTAAAATGTCCCCCCCTATTTTACACACATTACATAAATACACACACACTCTGCATTTTATAAACACACTACACAAACACACTGCATTCACTATACACACACTACACAAACACACACACTCTGCATTCATTATATACGCACACACACTACACAAACACAGTGCATTCACTATACACACACACTACACAAATACACACACACACTCTACATTCATTATATACACACACTGCATTCACCACACACACACACACACACAAACACACTCTGCATTCATTATATACACACACACACTACACAAACATACTGCATTCACTTTACGCACACTACATACACACACTACATTCACTTTACACACACCACACACTACATTCACTATACACACTACACAAACACTCATTACATTAACTATAAACACTCTGCATTCATTACATACACACTACACAGACACACACTGCATCCACTACATACACACTACACAAACACACACACTGCATCCACTACACAAACACACACTGCATCCACTACACACACATATATTCTTGAAAACAAAAAATTCAGACTGGCGTGTATATTTTGTGCATTTACCTTATTAAAAAAAAGATTTGCAAAAAAATAAATAATAAACATGTTCAGTTAACAGTAGATATGTGTAGAAATAGTTTTTTTTTTTTTTAAATGGTAAATGTACAGAATATCTGTAAGTTATCGGCTATCGGCCTGAAAGTTCGCAGATTATCAGTATCGGCTCTAAAAAATCAATATCCGTCGATCCCTAGCACCCATCATGCCTAGTGCCTACTGTACAATCCTGTGGGGGCAGTGCTATGATCTGGGGTTGCTGCAGTTGGTCAGGTCTAGGTTCAGCAACATTATGTGCCCAAAGAATGAGGTCAACTGACTACCTGAATATATTAAATGACCAGATTAATCCATCAGTGGATTTTTTCTTCCTTGATGGCACGGGTATATTCCAAGATGACAATGCCAGGATTCATCGGGCTCAAAGTTTAAGAGTAGTTCAGGGAGCATGAGACATAATTTTCACACATGGATTGGCCACCACAGAGTCCAGGCCTTAACCCCATTGATAATCTTTGGGATGTGCTGGAGAAGGCTTTGCGCAGTGGTCCGACTCTTCCAACATCAATACAAGATCTTGGTGAAAAATTTAATGCAACACTGGACGAAAAAAAATCATGTGATATTGCAGAAGTTTATCGAAACAATGCCATAGCGAATGCGTGCCATAATCAAAGCTAAAGGTGGGACAACGAAATATTAGAGTGTGTGACCTTTTTTTTTTAGGTGGCGACTTATTTTTGGCCAGGCAGTGTATATTCAGCATATTAGCATCAATAAGATATTTCACTCAAAATATATTCCAAACTGCACTCCAATACATATTACCCAAGCCAAGTAGCGGACCAAAGTGAATTTCAAATTTAGGGCCAGAGTAGCCAACCTTAAAAAGTTTTTTCCATCTTGGCAACTTTTGTACTTGAATTTGAAATACATTTTGAATTGTCATTTTAGTATTATCTTTGTGAGTGTAAACTGTATCCCAGCTAAACACGAATGACGCCTCCACCCTCCCTCACCCCACCCCCTAAAATATGAATACTTTAATACTAATACTAAAACTTCAATGAGTATGACCTTTGTCCTGAGTGGTCAGGGACTAACCCTTTAAGCTGATCTGTCACCTTCAGGGGTCTTTGCATATTTAGCAAAAACTCCCAATGGTGGCATCGGTTTATGTGTTGTGATGGCCCAGGGGTGATGTAATGGTAAATTATACTTACCTGATTCTGTCCCCTGCGGGCACTGACATGTTTTATCTTCAGTTTCTGGCCTTCGTCTGCCATGAGTTCATGTCAGTCTAATGTCTATGGAAGATCCCACAGGACCATGGAAGCCTCCATAGATATTGTCTAATGATGAGTGGGAGAATGCCCTATGCCAACAGCTCTTTCACTAGCAATGGCTGTGGGAAATGACAAAATGTGATGGAAGTGACAAAACTCTTGTGCCACCCCTAAACCAAACTCATAACCCACATACTGAGTAACACCCCCCAAACCAAGGACATAACCCACATACTGAGTAACACCCCCCAAACCAAGGACATAACCCACATTCTGAGTAACACCCCCAAACCGAGCACATAACCTATATACTGAGTAACACCCCCAAACCCAGCACATAACCCACATACTGAGTAACACCCCCAAACCGAGCTCATAACCCACATACTGATTAACACCCCTAAACCAAGCTCATAACTCACATACTGAGTAACATCCCCAAACCGAGCACATAACCCACATACTGAGTAACACCCCCCAAACCAAGGACATAACCCACATACTGAGTAACATCCCCAAACCGAGCACATAACCCACATACTGAGTAACACTCCCAAACCGAGCACATAACCCACATTCTGAGTAACACCCCCAAACCGAGCACATAACCTATATACTGAGTAACACCCCCAAACCCGGCACATAACCCACATACTGAGTAACACCCCCAAACCCAGCACATAACCCACATACTGAGTAACACCCCCAAATAAAGCATATAACTAAGTACTGTAACACTGCAAATTAGCTCATATTAAATATACTGGGAAGTATTTCTAAGTATAACTTATTTTTTAAAACTATAGTTAGCACCCCAAAGCACATAAGGTTATCACCTCCAAAGCATTACAACATACTGAGCGAGTCTCCTAAAACATTCGATACAAGCAACATACTGAACAGATACCATATAAAGAAAATACTTAGCACCCCCCAAAATCCATACCCCATAGTACCCCAAAACATGCCACAAGTACCAAGTAATACACCTCAGCACATAACCCACACACACAGCATCTCAAAAACAATGGACACAGGATGTATGCATTAACCACGACAAAACACAGAAAACAGTATTTAGTATAATTATTGAGCAGCCCCCAAAACATTATAATCCCAAAATATAGCTTGTGCAGCCCACCACTTATATCACATGATCCGCATTCAATGAAACACATAACCCGCATCATGAGCAGCACCCCAAAACGTAAGACATTATAAATACTGAGCAGTAACCATAACCACAACACAATAACCCACATATTGAGCACAATCCCAAAATATAGTTCACAATAACCCACGCCTGAATTGCACGTCTATGCACATCACTCACAAGTGAAGTTGCACCCCAAAATATAACACATAACCCTTATACTAACTTGCACCCCCAAGCATAGCGCATTCCTCACTAATTGTTTTTGTATTTTATTGTACCCTAATGTATCAATGCAATGTTGTGTGGACCCAGGACATACTTGAAAACGAGAGAAATCTCAATGTATCTTTCCTGGTAAAATATTTCATAAATAAATAATGTAGCTGCACCCCAAAATATAGCACACAACCATCACTCACATACTGAACAGCACCTAAAACATGTCATGTAACTCACATACTAAACAGCACTCCAAAAAGCATCACATAACCCACATTTTGAGTAGCACCCCAAAATATAGCTCATGTACTGAAATCCAAAAATGGTATGCATACCACATACTCATCAACACCTCTAAAAGAAAATAAACAGCAGCCCAAAATAAACAAAATATCACTTAGTGAGCATACAAAATATCACATTCCCCTACTGAACGAAACCACAAAACACGGCACATTAAATACACACAGATGATTCAAAAATAGCATATAACTCACATATGGAGCATCACCCAAAATCCTCACTGTAATAATCCATATAATGTGCAACACCCCAAATTATGGCACATAATCCACCGAATTGCAACCCAAAACATAGCACATACACCAATAATGCACAATCCAAAACATAAGATAAAACACATACCAAGCAGCACCCCAAAATCATAGCATGTAAACTGCATCCTGAGAAGCACCCCCAAAAAAGCACATTACCACTTACTGACCAGCACCCCAAAACAATGCATACAATTCACATACTGAGCACCACCCCTAAAGCATAGTATCTAACCTACATCCCGAGCAGCATCGCAAAACATAGCACATAGCAAAAGATACCCCAAATGTTGCCAAGCACCCCAAAACAGTGCATACAATTAACATTTGGAGCAGTACCCCTAAAGCATACTGAGCAACACCCTAAAACATAACATATAACCCACGTACTAAGCAGCCCCCAGAACATCGCAAATAATTCACATACTTAGCAGCACCCAAAAACATTAACATACTGAGCAACATCTCCAATCAGTTCATACATTTGAAAAACTGTGCAGCCCCCCCTTAAAATGTAAAAACAGCACATATTAAGCAACACCCCAAGATAGCACATAAACAACATGTTGAGCAGCACCCAAAACCATAGCATAAAACCCACATACTGAATAGCACCCTAAAAGTAGCATAAACACAACACAGCGAGCAGCACCCCAGACGGCTGTACAAAATTCACATACTAAGCTGCACCCTAAAAAAAGATGGCACAGACACCATATACTAAGCGATAATATGCATGTGTACCCCACACTCCTGGCACTCTAAAACATATTGTGTAACCCGCATTCTTAGCTCCCTAAAACACATCGTAACCTAGATTCTGAGCAGCATTCCTAAATTCATAATTCACATAAACGCACCAAAAAAAAGTGTAAATGTGTGTTTATATATATATATATATATATATATAGTGGGTGCTATAGAAAGTTCCCCTTATCCATTATGTGTCCTGATGATTGTGACCCAAAGTATGGGGGTGCGTAGTAATAAAGGTTATGGAGAGTTTACATGAATTGCAAGCTCTGTGGGTAAGGCCTTTTTATGTTTACACTGTACCAGTTATAGCCTGATACACAGATGTGTGTGTTCTTGGACTTCTGCTGAAGTGTCACATACATGGTGAGTGCAAGCTCTTGTGAGTACAGTGAGTAGATTGGAATCTTTGCTCTTCACACTTTCTCCCCCTCCCCCCTCCCATGCCTGTACTGCGCAGCTGTGTATGTTGGTGCCAGACAGATAACTGAGCTGGGGGTGTGTGCTCTGAGATCCCACAGGAGGGGGTGTGTGCATGTGTATATCTTTGTATGTCTGTGTGTGCTTAATGTCCTGTGTGTAGTGTGTGTGTATGTGTGTGGTGCTGCTGGCTGTGAGCTGCAGCGTGCTGTGTCTCCCTGTGCACATACGTGTGCCTTTACATGTCTATTCCCGGCTCCGCTCTGGAGTGTGTAGAATGATCCAGAAACCCTGTCACCCACCTAACAAAGGATCCTGGAAATGTGGTGCTTGACCTCTTCTCTCTTTTTATATTTGTAACATTACAGACTCAGCCGGTGACGCTCGTTGTCCAGGGCCAAGTGGCAGATCGGCGCCGGAGCCGCAGCAGAGCATTGTGGTGAGGGTTCCTGCGCTGCTGGCTCAGGCCAGGAGAGAGAGGGCGAGGGACCAGCCACCAAGCTGAAGAGACGGAAAAAGCTTTCTTTTTTTTTTTTTTTCCTTTTCTTTTTTTTTTTTTAATCCGCTGTGCAGTGAAAATCCCACAAAAGACGTTTTTTTTTTTTTACCTCCTCTCACCCCCCCCCTCCCCCTCCTGCTAGTTCCTCCCTCTCTGGTCACCTCCCTCCCTTTCTGTGCATGTGTCTGTCTTGCTGTAGTTGCTGAGCCCCTCTCTCCCCCCTTGTCATCCTCTTTCCGTTCTCTGTAAGAGCGCAGAGGGAGGAGAGATGGAGCAGACGCTGTTAGAGGGGGCTCGACAGACAGACAGACTCCTGCTTCGCTGTATTTCGCAGCAATATTTTCAGTATTGCAGATCCTTTCTCTTTATTTCTCTCCTCCTTTCAGAGGCAGAGCTGGTGAGGGGGAGAAAGACATGAGGGAGGGGAAAAGACAGAGTGACTGAGGTGTCTCCTTTATGGTCTCTCCCCTCCTCTCAGCCTCTCTCCTTCACTCCTCCCTTTTCTCTTCTTAGCTTTCTTTTTTCCCCTGCCTTTTGCTTTCTGCCTCTCCGCTCTCTCCCATTTTCTCAATCTATCTAGCTCTTCATCTCCTCTCTCCATCTACTTAACTTTAACTCTGTCTTTACCCTCAATCTCCCCTCTGTTTCTGTAATTTCAAGCACAAACAGAAACCCGGAGTGTTGGTTTCCATCGGCAGGCTCAGCATCCGTGTTTATATCTGTAAAGTGTGTTTGTTATATGTTTGTGTATGTTGTAGTCTGTATGCGTTTATATCCATATGTGTTTGTTTCCATGTTTGTACATCTGTAAGTTCTTGGCATCTGTGAATGTTTGTATACCTTGACAAATCTGTCTGTATTTATCTAATTGTACAGCCCTGCGGAATATGTTGGCGCTTTAAAAATGCCAGTAATAAATAAATACACTTGTATGTGTTTTGCATAACTGAGTATTTCTATACCCGTATATCTGTGTTTGCTTTTGCATTCATATATTTGTATTTGTTTGTCTGCATGTGTTCTTCTGTGGTTGTATGCCTCTGTTTGTTTACATACTGGTATGTCGATTTGTGAATGTGTTTGTCTTTATCAATTTGTTTGTGCGTGTCTTTTCATGTATTATTATTGGTTTCTATCTAAATATGTAACAAACATTATTCTTTATTAAAAACTATTAATTAAGGTGAAGTTTGTGAAAGTATAACGTAAAGCGAATCTATCACGTCTCAGTTTAGACGGCAGAGTCTATAGTACTGTACTGTTCTATGGACCAGTGGCTCTTTATATCATTTTCCCATTGGTTGGAAAATTACATTATATTTGTCAGGCCCTCCTAAGAAAAAACTAGTTTATTGCAACAGCCCTTCCTCAATGCAGTGGAGACCCCTACATACTGGGAAACGTATAAGTCAGGGCTGCACAAAAGGTAGATCCCCAGATGTTTTAAAACTACAGCTTCCATGATGCTTTGACATCCTAAAGCCATTCTAAAGTCATGAAGAGCATCGTGGGAGTTGTAGTTTTACATCTTGAGATACCTTTTGGGCAGCCCTGGTCTAAGTGATGGAGTTCTGCAGAAGTTTTGTTTAGTATACATTGTTACTATTGAAGGATCTGTTGGCACCCTGGTGTCATTTACATAATTTGGGTCCCTGTCAAGAAAGGAATATTCTAGACACAGTATCTCTGAAATGTTGAGTTCCATCGACTCTTCCAGTAAGTACTATGTAATATATTGTGTATACGACCAGAAAGTATTATGTAATATAATGTGAATACCACCAGAAAGTACTATGCAATATTATTATTATTATTATTGCCATTTATATAGCGCCAACAGATTCCGTAGCGCTTTACAATATTTTGAGAGGGGGGATGTAACAATAAATAGGACAATTACAAGAAAACTTACAGGAACAATAGGTTGAAGAGGACCCTGCTCAAACGAGCTTACAGACTATAGGAGGTAGGGTATTCGAAACATTAAGACATGGAATATCAAGTAGGAGTGGAGCAGAGCTGGAGGAGAGAGCAAAGCACTGTCCCATAGGAGAGAGCAGGAGACAGGTATGTAAGGTAGAGATTACTCTGAGAGGCCATAAGCTTTCCTGAAGAGATGGGTTTTAAGGCCCTTCTTAAATGATTGAAGACTGGGGGAGAGTCTGATGGCAGTAGGCAAGCTATTCCATAGGAGAGGAGCCGCCCGCGAGAGGTCCTGCAAGCGCGAGTTGGCCGTACGGGTGTGAGCAGCGGTCAGGAGGTGGTCACGGGCAGAGCGGAGGGTACGAAGAGGCGCATATCTATGGATTAGTGAAGAGATATAAGTGGGGCTAGAATTGTTTAGTGCTTTCAATGTATGGGTTAGCACTTTGAATTGACTCCTATAGCATACAGGGAGCCAATGTAAGGACTGGCAGAGGGGTGAGGTGTGAGAGGACCGACTAGAGAGGAAAATCAGTCTAGCTGCAGCATTCATTACAGACTGTAGCGGGGCAATACGGCTTTTGGGGAGACCAATCAGGAGAGGGTTACAGTAATCCATGCGGGAAATTACTAGAGCATGGACAAGCTCCTTGGTAGCATCTTGCGTAAGAAAGGGGCGAATGCGGGCTATGTTTTTGAGTTGGAACCTACAGGACTTGGCAACAAACTGGATGTGAGACTCAAAGGTGAGACCAGAGTCAAGTATGACGCCAAGACAGCGCGCTTGCAGGGATGGACTTATGTGGATATCACTGACTTGAAGGGAGAGCGAGAGAGGAGGATCAGTATTAGGAGGAGGAAAGACAAGGAGTTCAGTTTTAGAGAGGTTAAGTTTCAGAAAGCGTGAGGACATCCAGTCAGAGATGGAAGAAAGGCAAGCAGTGACACGTTGCAGGACGGCAGGGGAGAGGTCCGGGGAGGAGAGGTATATCTGAGTGTCATCAGCGTACAGGTGGTAGTGGAATCCAAAAAAGGCAATAAGTATATATAAGTAATATAAAGTGTATACCAGCAGAAAGTACTATGTAATATAATGTGTTTACTACTAGAAGATACTATGTAATGTAATGTGTATACCTTCCAGAAGATACTATGTAATATAACGTGTATATCACCAGCAGTTATTACTAGTATTATTATTATTGCCATTTATATAGCGCTAACAGATTCTGTAGCACTTTTTAATATTATGAGAGGGGGGATTTAACTATAAATAGGACAATTACAAGAAAAATTACAGGAACGATAGGTTGAATAGGACCCTGCTGAAACGAGCTTACAGTCTATAGGCGGTGGGGTATAAGACACATTAGGACAGGAAATAGCAAACAAATAAGGTGGGAGTGAAGCAGAGCTGGAGGAGAGAGTAGAGTGCTGCTCTTTAGGAGAGAGCAAGAGACAGGTATGTAAGGTAGAGGTTACTCTGGGAGGCCATAAGCTTTCCTGAAGAGAGGGGTTTTAAGGCACTTCCTAAACGATTAGACTAGGGGAGTGTCTCATGGCGGTAGGCAGGCTATTCCATAGGAAGGAAGACGCCTGCGAGAAGTCCTGCAAGCGTGAGTTGGCCGTACAGGTGCGAGCAGCGGACAGGAGAAGGTCACGGGCAGAGTGGAGAGACCGAGAAGGGGCATACCCATGGATCTGTGAAGAGATATGATGGGCTAGAATTGTTCAGTGATTTATAGGTATGGGTTAGCACTTTGAATTGACTCCTATAGGATACAGGAAGCCAATGTAAGGACTGACAGAGGGGTGTGGTGTGAGAAGACTGACTAGAGAGGAAAATCAGTCTGGCGGCAGCATACATAACAGACTGTAGCGGGGCAATACGGCTTTTGGGGAGACCAATCAGGAGACGGTTACAGTAATCCATGCGGGAAATTACTAGAGCATGGACAAGCTCCTTAGTAGCATCTTGTGTAAGAAAGGGGTGGATGCGGGCTATGTTTTTAAGATGAATCTACAGGACTTGGTAACATGCTGGATGTGAGGCTCAAAAGTGAGACTAGATATAAGTATTACACCAAGACAGCGCGCTTGCAAGGATGGACTGATGTGGATACCACTAACTTGAAGGGAGAGTGAAAAAGGAGAATCAGTATTAGGAGAAAAGATAAGGAGCTCAGTTTTAGAGAGACTGAGTTTCAGAAAGTGGGAGGACATCCAGTCAGAGATGAAAGAAAGGCAAGCAGTGACACGTTTCAGGACGGCAGGGGAGAGGTCCAGGGAGGAGAGATATATCTTGGTGTCATCAGCGTACAGGTGGTAGTGGAATCCAAATGAGGCAATAAGTTTGCCAAGAGAGGCAGTATAAAGAAAAATTGAAGGGGACCAAGGAGAGAGCCTTGGGGGACTCCAACCGAGACAGGATGAAGGGAGAAGGTATCATTAGAAAAGGGGACACTGAATGAGCGTCGGGAGAGATAAGAGGAAAACCACGAGAGGACAGAGACACAGAAACCGAGTGATTGAAGAAGGAGAGCATGATCAACGGTGTCAAAGGCAGCAGAGAGGTCAAGAAAAATTAGTATGGAGTAGTGGCCTTTGGATTTAGCCGCGGTTAGGTTGTTAGTAACTTTGATAAGAGCAGTCTCAGTAGAGTGGAGGGGGCGGAAGCCAGATTGAAGAAGGTCAAGGAGTGAGTTGGAATTGAGAAAGTGAGACATACGGGTAAAGATAAGTCTTTCAAGAAGCTTTGCGGGAAAAGGGAGCAGGGATATAGGATGATAGTTAGAGGGGGAGGACAGGTCGAGAGATGTTTCTTTTAGGATAGGTACTACAGTGGCATGTTTAAGGTCAGCAGGGACAATGCCAGAAGAGAGAGAGCAGTTGAAGATGTGTGCTAAGGAAGGCACAAGACAAGGGGAGAGAGATCTGATAGGTGAGATGGGACAGGATCAAGCAGGCAAGTGGTGGGGTGAGAGGGAAGGAGAAGCGCAGCCACCTCTTGTTCAGTAGCTGGGGAGAAAGTCTGAAGGGTAGGAAAGGCATGATCTACATGTGGCTGAGAAAGGCAGGGTGGGGAGAATTCTTTCCTTAGCTGTTCAATCTTGTTGGTAAAGTAGCATGCATTACTATGTAATATAATGTGTATACCACCAGAAGATACTATGTAATATAAAGTGTATACCACTAGAAGGTACTATGTAATACAGGTACTCCTCACTTACCGACCTGGTTCCGTTCTTATGATCTGGTCGTAGAACGAATTGGTCGGTAAGGAGAAGTTGAAGGATTCCCTGCTCTGGTGCGCTTGTTTATGATACGCTAGAGGGCTGGTCGTAAGTGCGAGCCGTCGTAAAACAGGTAGGTCGTAAAATGAGGACCACATGTATAATGTTTATACTACCAGAAGATACTATGTAATATAATGTTAATACCTTGCAGAAGATACTATGTAATACAAAGTGTATATCACCAGAAGTTACTGTGTGATATAATGTGTATACCACCAGAAGTAAGTATTTAATATAATGTGTATACAACCAGCCGCTTCTATGTAATATAATGTGTATACCTTCCAGAAGATACTATGTAATATAATGTGTATACCACCAGAAGTTACTATGTGATATAATGTGTATACAACCAGAAGATTCTATGTAATATAATGTGTATACCACCAGAAGATACTATGTAATATAATGTGTTTACCACCAGAAGATACTATGTAATATAATGTGTTTACCACCAGTAGTTGCTATGTAATATAATGTGTTTACCACCAGTAGTTGCTATGTAATATAATGTGTATACCATCCAGAAGATGCTATGTAATATAACGTGTTTATCACCAGAAGATACTATGTAATATAATGTGTATACCATCCAGAAGATTCTATGTAATATAATGTGTTTACCACCAGTAGTTGGTGTGTAATATAATGCAGGGCTTGACACATTTGCTTGAAATCTTGGAGCCAGCTAAAAAGGTTTGGAGCCAGATTTTTCAACGTCAAAATTACAATTCTTAAAGGGACACTATAATCTCCAGAACCACTACAGCTTAATGTCATTGTTCTGAAGTCTATATACTGTCCTGGCACTGACTTTTCAGACTACAGGCAGTGTTTACATTGCTGTCTGGTAACACATCTAGTGACAGTCACTCAGACGGCCTCTAGAAGTGCTTCCTGTTTTGTTTTGTTTTTTACCTACGTTTTTTACGTTTGTATTTTTCATAAACCTATGTTAATGCTCCCCATAAGGATGCATTGATTCAATGCATCTCTATGAGGAGAAGTTTATTGCGCAGCATGGCACTTTGCCGTGCATGCGCAACAGTCTCCCAATGTTTTTCTATAAGGTAGCATTGGATTGGCTGAGATCGTCAAGTTTGATAAGCTCAGCCATGGAGGTGAGGCCAGCTGTGGCGATAACAGCACAGCATGGGAAAAAGGGTGAGTAAAAACACCTTTCCCAGGCCAACTAAACATATACACTCACTGGTAGAAAGACATACACACTGATTTGAAACACACACTCACTGACAGACACACACACTGACAGACACACATCCATACACTCGCTGACACACACACACTAATTGACAGACACAAACACTCACTGACTGACAGAGACACACACACACACAGACAGACACTCATACACACACTCACATACCTTCCAGAAGTTACAATATTACTCTTTGAAGCTCTGTAATATGACTTTTTAGGGAGGATAATGGGGAATTTCTCTATCATCAGAGTTATTTACAAAGTCAATTTCAAATTTTAGGCCAAAATAGGTAAATTGGAAGAAAAAAAAAATCTCCAGATCAGCTGTGTTTTCAGTTTGCCTATTTTGGCCTAAAAATTTATTCACTCTGAATTCCAGACAATTTACAGTGAATGACTGAGTATTTTTATTGTCTCTATAAGTAACTACCTGACCAGGAGATGTTTTGTATAACTGTATTACTGTACGTTAATGACTATATTTGTCAGTTTATATGTGTTTCTGTTTATAAATATAGTCTGAGTGTATATGTGTAATTGTTTATAAATATGTACACTTCTGCTTATATGCTTGTTTTTATATATCAGTACTATTTGGAGTGTTTGTGGTTGGTTTTATATAGCTTTGCCCATGTGGGGTGGTGTTTAAATAGCTGTTATTCTGTGTGTATAAATGTGTAAAAGGGACACTATAGGCACCAAAACAACTTTAGTTTAATGAAGCAGTTTTGGTGCACAGATCATGCCCTTGCAATTTCACTGCTCAATTATTTACCATTTAGGAGTGAAATCACTTTGTTTATGCAGCCCTAGTCACACCTCTCTGTATGTGACTTGCCCTGCTTTCCTAAACATTTCCTGTAAAGAAACATCTACTGTTTAAACTTCCTTTATTGTGCAGTTTGTTTAATTTAGAATTTTGGATTTACTTCTCTGTTAATAGCCTTCTTGACCCAGCTGGAGTCACATGTGTGATTAAAGTTCAAGTTACAGTGCAGGGCATAAAAACACCTAAAGCAAGTTAACATCTGATTGAAAAATTAAACTATTTTTTCATGCAGGCTGTGTGAGTCTCAGTCAGAGGAGGTGTGGCTAGGGCTGCATAAACAAAAGTCACTCTACTCCTAAATGGCATGCCATGCATGCGCATTCAGCCGATGACGAGAAGGAGAGTCCCCCGCCCGGTGCTGGAGAAAGAGGTAAATTTAACCCCTTCCACCCCCTAGAGCCCGGCGGGAGCGGGGACCTATAGAGCCAGGAAAACAAGTATGTTTTCCTGGTACTATAGTGGTCCTTTAAGCAATTACTGGCTACGTGGTAAAACTTAATGACAACATTGGAAAGGAGAAACTCTTGGTTTAATATGTGCGAACGATTTATGGTATAATATATCTTTCACAGTAATATGACAGACCATAAAACTTACCTAATGGGTCACAGCAACCTTGATGTGGACTATTTGTAACAATTAAATACAACAATCATAGGTTGAGAATATATGCCCTCATGGATAATTAATCTTTTCACATGGAGGGTTTGCAGCTTCTTCAGTGAGCTCTCACAAGTACAGGAAGTGGCTGCAGCGAGGTGGTGTTTAACACAATCTTCCAGATTCTTCTTGGCACATTGACATTTGACATTAATTGGGAAAACCAATATATTGTTGCATTGGCACTTTGAAATGAAGCTCTTTGGGGGAAGACACCAATTCTATCACTAGGGTGTAAGCTCTGTGGCCTGAGGTTTCCCATTGCATGCTGAAGTGTTAGCTCTGTAGTATTCAATCTCACATTTTGTTCTAGTATGTAATCTGAGTGGGAACGAGTCTCCTATAAGTGGAATGTAAGCTCAGTGGAATAGGATCTCCTATAAATAGATTATAAGCTCTGTGGGACAGAGTATTGTATAATTAAGATTGTAAGCTCTGTGGTCGAGATGGTTTTCCACTGAGACACACACACTGTTCACTGGATAGAAATTTCACTTTTAACATCTCCTGTCTTGTACTGTCAGTGACCTGACCAGCTTCTCCGAATTAACTCTTCTTGTGCCAGAGATTGTCAGAATCTCACTTATGCAAGACGTTTAATGTGTGGTTGCATAAACCACTCCTTTCTGTGAGATCTAAGTCCAGCTTTATTCTGTCATTGATTCTTCCATCTGTAATACAAATCACAGTATAGTGACATAATGAGGAGGTAAGCAATAAATATAGTACATATAACGACACACGCACACGTATCCATTCTGTGAGCACACACAGACAATCCCTCCTCTGCACCTGTAAACACACAGCATTATGTCCATCCAGCTTTTAGGAGATATCCAGTTCTCCTTTACATTTGTTAAATGTAGCCAATTTGCTCTGTACTTGTGACCATGCAGTCAGTTCACTGTGCTGGGATGCACGCAGCTAGTCATCCACCAAATCTGCTATCACACAGCCGCATGCTCCCAGCACCTTTATGGATAACCAGTCCACCTACTATCCCATATGCATACAGTCGTACCTTCTTAACTTTATGCTTATAGCCAGTGCTCTGTGACAGCAAACATGCAGCTGAACCTTTTTACACATTTATACTCTCAATCAGCCAGTCTGTCTCTTTCTACTGCGGTTTTAATGTTCATCTCAAATGTTATATATACATAAGAATAACCTACTAATTTACATGCACATAATTGCAGCTGGTTTATATTAAAGGGACACTATAGTCACCTGAACAACTTTAACGTAATGAAGCAGTTTTGGTGTTTAGAACATGCCCCTGCAGCCTCACTGCTCAATCCTCTGCCATTTAGGAGTTAAATCCCTTTGTTTATGAACCCTAGTCACACCTCCCTGCATGTGACTTGCACTGCCTTCCATAAACACTTCCTGTAAAGAGAGCCCTATTTAGGCTTTCTTTATTGCAAGTTCTGTTTAATTAAGATTTTCTTACTAGCTTGCTAGACCCTGCAAGAGCCTCCTGTATGTGATTAAAGTTCAATTTAGAGATTGAGATACAATTATTTAAGGTAAATTACATCTGTTTGAAAGTGAAACCAGTTTTTTGTTTCATGCAGGCTCTGTCAATCATGGGAGGTGTGGCTAAATGACAGTGAATTGAGCAGTGAAATTGCAGGGGAATGATCTATACACTAAAACTGCTTTATTTAGCTAAAGTAATTTAGGTGACTATAGTGTTCCTTTAAGCCAACATATTCCACAGCACTGTACAACAGTTAAACAGCCCCATGAATTTGCCTGTTCATTACCTTCTCCTCCAGTCTTGTTTTCAATGTTTCTGCTGCCTCCATCCTCTCCTCCTCCTCAAAGAATTCCTTATCAAGCCGCTGCAGGTTAGGCAGCGCAATGAGGACCTCCATACGATAGCCCTCTTCTTCATCACATGGATTCTCACGTAATACGAGTGCCCGCAGCATCGGGAGACACTGCAGCTTGGGGATCTCTAGCAGGTTGCTAACCAAGTTACCCCTGAAGGTGGAGAGAGTTAGAGTGAATAAAGAAAGACGCAGCGAAACATACATTAGAGAGCTCAATAAATTGCGGAGTTGGACAGTTTCCCGGTTTCGCTATTTTTTACCTAAAATTTTGAATTCCTATTTCAGTTCACAGTTCAGGTTTAGTGAACCATGATAATTGTAATTTCTCAAGATCTCCATTTTAGTGAAAAGTTCATTTATTTCAAAGATAATATACAGAAGCAAATTAGATGAAAATGGTACTTGAGCATGAAGAAACGCATGGCATGGCTAGACACACTAACAGGTTTATTTAGATTTTCATATTTTAGGGCAAAATAGCTGAATCAGAAAAAAATTATCTATTTTCAATTTGGCTATTTTGGTCTTAAACTTTTGGTGAGTTACCCTGTTGGAATATAAACGTATATCATATGATCAATTAATTTAAAAAAATTGAACAGAGCTTGTTTTTGCTGACTTACGAGGCCATATTTGACCAGCTCTATTATCTGTTATGATTTATGTACTCATATTGGTGTAAGTTGTATCACTAAATACTTTAGTCTTGTGTATTGTCTGCAATGTTTTTGATAATTCTTTTTTCCCCCATTCATCCTCAGGTGTTTGTGCAAGCTATGTTACTCATCCATTCACACCTGCTGTCCAGATCCCAGCAAGCGTCTCATGTCTTCTCTCCCACTCTGCCTTCTTCCACATCCACCATGAAAGGTTGTTATATTTGCATTGCCTACATCACTCCATCCCAGACTTGATATGACCTGAAGCTATGCCTCATAATAATACAAGGTATCACCACACTTTTCTTGATTAATACATACACATTTGTGGCCCTATTACCAGGCAATTTCTGTGCTACACCAGCTCTTACACAGACTACCATCGTAAGCAAATAACGTGTAGCTATTAAGATTTAATCACTTACCGGATATTAAGGTACTGTAAGGCCTGCATCTTCTCTGAGAACCCATCCAGAATCTCAAGCTGGTTGTCTCGAAGGTGGAGGCTGGTTAGATGTACAAGATACTCCAGACCCTCCAAACTTTTAATATTATTTTGAGCCTGGAAGACAACGATCCTCATCAAGCAAACACACTAACAACCTTCATACAATCAAATATACATTGTGTATAAGCTTCATTCCTACACACACACAGTTTATCATTCATGCACACTCAGAAACTTTTCATTCACACAAATATGCCCTGCATTCATACACATACACACTAAGTTTTTAATAACGCACACACAGCCTTCATACACAGAGCCTTTTTTTCCATACACAAATGCTGAACTTCACACAAAGCCTTAGTCACACACCCACAGCCAATTTCCATATCCATATGATTAAGCAGAACCCAGATTGAAAGGTGTTAGATGATTTAGGTGTTAAAAACGTGTGTCAACACACTCTGTCTCTGAAATTTGCTAAGCTAATATGCTGTCTAAACATATTGAAATAATGTATATTTTTAACAAAAATGAAAACATGAGTTGTTTTCAATACATCCAAGTAGCAATGCATCACATAACTCTGCTCCAGCCAGCTGCTACATGGCTTCAGTACTATATCCTGGGGTTGGATTACAGCTAGAGAACCAGCTTCTTTAATTAACCCCTTAAGGACCAAACTTCTGGAATAAAAGGGAATCCTGACATGTCACACGTCATGTGTCCTTAAGGGGTTAAAGGACTCCTTCACTTTAAGTCTGCCGTGTAGCTAAGTGTTCTGTTGTTTCTTGCCTGAGCCAGTGACCTGTTTTGTTATATTAGAAACACATTTCCAATGCATACATTGCATTAAAAATGTCCCAATCCCCATATTACATTCATTCACACATGCAATCCTGATTCCCATCCACACATCTTCCTCATTCACACATCCACGCACATACACTCTTAACGCACATCTTTCAATCATACCCCCCATGCAGCATTAATTCACACAAACCCACATTCTGAATGCATAAAGGGTTTGTTCACTCCAGATTTCTATACAGACTTCATTCACACATACAAGGTAATTCTCTACACCAGGAATGACCAATTATGAGTTTTAAACCAGAATAGCCAACATGGCTAAATTCTCCCTCGCACTACATTCGTGCCCTCACCAGATAGAGCTCCCGTAAGTTGGGTAGGTTCAGTCCAGCTGTGCTCTGCAGTTGATTCCCTCGCAGTTCCAATGTGTGTAAGCTGCAGAGCTTACTGCAGTCCAGGCTGTCTACAGTACGCAACTCATTCCCTACACAGAGTGAGAAAAACTTGGGTCTGAAATATGTACTAATGCATGAAGGTTGTTTGAGTTTATCTAAAGTACAAGTCTGTCTTGCCAAGGTTAGTGAGTTTTGCACTTTCAGCGATACCTGACATCAGCTACCATCATGGACCGCAATTTATGCTAATCTCAAGTAGCACTAGGACATATATATTGAACATCCCCTCTCCCTCACCCTGCAGCTAGAAACATTGTTGTTCTACAAAACCACCAGACCATCTGATTTTCAGTGTTTTGGAGCGCATGGCCACTAGCCTCCCAATGATTTCCTCTGGGAAAGCATTTACGATCATTGATTTTGATGATCTCACCAAGGAGGCCGTGCCAGACACAGAAACTGGCGCAGCGAGGTAGAAAACATAAGTAAATTTGCCTTTTTAACACCCTGCATTTGGGGGCCAGAAACCTATAGTGTCCAATAGGGCACTACAGTTTAACCCCTACTGTACCTTAACATTAACCTCTACACTACCTTAAAGGATCACTATAGTGTCAGGAAAACAAAGCAGTTAAAACCCCTTCAGCAGCTTACCTTAATGCAGCGCCAGGCGGTGGTGACCTCTCCTCCCCGTCCGACGTCACTGAAGCCAAATGCACATGGGCGGCAAGTGCCGCGCGCGCATTCAAAGTGTCCATAGGAAAGCATTTCTCAATTCGCCTCAAGCGTCGCAGATGCGCCTCTAGTGGCTGTCCGGAAGACAGCCACTAGAGGCTGGATTAACCCCAAATGTAAACATAGCAGTTTCTCTGAAACTGTTATGTTTACATGTGAAGGGTTAAAACCTGAGGAACCTGGCACCCAGACCACTTAATTGAGCTGAAGTGGTCTGGGTGACTTTAGTGTCCCTTTAACACTAACCCTAACCTAAAATATTGTGTAATATAAAAGATACATAACAGTGAAGCATAATATCATCTCCAAGTTTATACACACACATGTATATACTGTATATATAAACGCAGATCCAGTTGAGACCAATACTAACCTATTAAGTTGAGTGATTCCAGGCGTGGCAGTGCCAGTCCTTGCAATGTTTGAATGCGATTCTGTGCCAGGCTGGCAATTTGCAGGTAAGGAAGCTCTCCCAACCCTGCCACATTGAGAAGTTGATTTTGATCCAACCGCAGACTTAAAAGGTGAGTAAGAGCCGCTACGGGGGAGATGTCCCGTAGAGCATTCTGGGAAAAATCCACATATCGTAGGTGAATAAAGGATTGTACAGGCGAGATGTCAGTCAGCTCTCTGTAATGCAAAACAGAAGATATTGATTGGCTAGACCATATGTTAGAGGCAATAATGAGAACAGTAACAAGGGTTACTCTGCAGTCCTGAGCAGTAGTTGAGAGAACTATCCAGGGACACTGCCATATATACACTGATATATTAGAAGCATAGAATCCAGGGCACAACTTGGATACACCACCATGGAAATGGCAGTGATATACTGCAATATTAGAAAGACTGGCTGCATGACACGATTATGTAGTGGACTGGGGGCACTATCAGCAGCATATACATAGATATTGGTGATTCTAGACTGTAGGGCAAGTGTCTGCAATCTGTGTACAACACAACGGCAGAGCAAGTGATGTATGGAGATAATATAATGGTTGCAGGACTCTGTGGTATGTGGAAGATAATAAGGTGTAACATACTTGTAAGTAAGTTTAATAAGGTGCACACTGTCTGCAAATAAGGTGCTGTGTGTGTCAATAAGGTAGAGAGAGTGTGTGTCTAAGTGAGGTGAAGAGTGAAAGTGAGATGAAGAGTGTGGTAAAGTGCAGAAAAAAGGTACAGAATGTGTAAATAAGGCTCATAGTATAAGGTGCAGTCTGCATGCAGATAAGGTGTACAATGTGTAAGTAGTGTGACACTAATCGAAACAAGTACCGGTAGGTAATAACATATAGAATAAGGTAAAAATAAACCATGGGCAGCTTCACAACATCATCCAGCGACTTAGAAATAGGTCATATAAAAAATGTGCGTGTATGAGCGCTACAATTATATGAAAAAGGAATTAATTATTTAGCGTGTGTAAGTAAAGTGCAGAGGGAATGTAAAATGAAGAGTATTTAAATAAGGTTGAAAGTGTAAAATTTTTAATTTTAAGTGTAAAAAGGTAAAATGTCTGAGTAGGTCAAATGCAGCATGTTTACATAAGTTGCAGGGTGTATGAAACTAATGTCCAGAGAAAAAGCATGTTTACAATGTACAGAGTGTGTAAAGCAGGTGTAATGTTTAACTAAGGTACAGAGTGTGTAAAGCAGGTGTAATGTTTAACTAAGGTACAGAGTGTGTAAAGCAGGTATAGAGATTAACTAAGGCACACAGTGGGTAAAGCAGGTTTATAGATGAACTAAGGCACAGAGTGGGTAAAACAGGTGTAGAGTTTAACTAAGGTACAGAGTGTGTAAAACATGTGTAGAGTTTAACTAAGGTACAGAGTGTGTAAAACATGTGTAGAGTTTAACTAAGGTACAGAGTGTGTAAAGCAGGTATAGAGATTAACTAAGGCACACAGTGGGTAAAGCAGGTTTATAGATGAACTAAGGTTTATAGATGTCCCTTAAAAAGTGGGAGGCACATATACAAACTGTTGTAATTCCTACACCGTTCACCTGATTTGGATGTAAATACCCTCAAAATAAAGCTGAAAGTCTGCACTTTAAGCACATCTTGTTCATTTCATTTCAAATCCATTGTGGTGGTGTATAGAGCCGAAAAGATTAGAATTGTGTCGATGTCCCAATATTTATGGACCTGACTGTGTATATGTATATATATATATATATATATATATATATATATATATATATATGATATATAGACATATATTATATAGATATAATAAATGTCTATCTATCATATTTATATACACATATATAATTAGAATTTTTTTATTAACATTAACAGTTATTTCTTTTAATGATTTTACACATGCAGGAAGACTGCCTGTCAGCACAGGCAGTCCCCCTGCAGGCAGACACATTGTGACCATGTGATCGCTCTGTTGAGCGATCACATGGCCACAGGGATCCTAATCTGCCGTGGGGAGACTGTCTGGGCTGCAGGCAGTCTCCCCACAACGGGAGCAACACCGATCACCGCCGGGGGAACGACGGCGATCGGGTAAGTACATTGGACCATTAGGACGGTTCAGGACTGTCACCGGTCGGCAATGGAAAAATGCCGATGACGGTCCTGAAGAGGTTAAAACATACATTTATAAAAACCTTAGCAGGTGTACAAAAGGCACTGTCTATGACATCACTTGCTGCTCCAGCCTGGCACAGGTCAGAGTATTTTGGCAGTTGCCATCTTCAAACGGTTTTAAAAACTATACATCCTACAGCAAAGCGCTTTATATTGTGAGAATCACAAGACCCAGACCTACATTTTGATGCATAGTATGTCTCTGAAATATTCAAAATGAGGGCACAGTCGCAGTTTAGAAATTGCCCTTCAAATTTTAGCTGGCTAGAGTGGAGTTTCAATGAATGTCAATGGACAGCGTGAGTTGCAAACAAATGGTCATATTGTGAAAACGATCAGGACTATGGCTTAGCCGTGGACATTTTTAGTGGCAGCAGGGATAGCTGAACGTTTTGATATAAGATTTGTGTAGGTGGGCTTGAAAATGAGGGAGTGGTGGCAGTTTAGAAATCATGTCCTGATTTTTCAGCTTTTGCCAGCTCCCACTCTAGTTTTGAACATTTTGCCATTCATTACTATGGGACCAATTTCGCCACAAGAACGACGATATTCCGTGAACCATTCCGCGAAATGTTTCACAATGTAAGAGCACACCAATCGGGAACAATCCGCACGTTTCGGTATATTACGGTCTATGTAGTGTAAAAACTGTGGGAGGAGTTAGTGTGGTAAATTTGGCTATAATAAGAATTATATATATGTGAGATAATATTAAGTGGGCTTGCTATGGAAGAACACTTAATAATAATAATAATATATATATATGTGAGATAACATTAAGTGGTCTTGCTATGCAAGAACACTTAACTAAGGCACAGAGTGGGTAACGCAGGTGTAGAGTTTAACTAAGGCACAGAGTGGGTAAAGCAGGTGTAGAGATTAACTAAGGCACAGAGTGTGTAAATTATGTGTAGAGTTTAACTAAGGTACAGAGTGTGTAAAGCAGGTATAGAGTTTAACTAAGGTACAGAGTGTGTAAAGCAGGTATAGAGTTTAACTAAGGCACAGAGTGGGTAAATCATGTGTAGAGTTTAACTATGGTACAGAGTGTGTAAAGCAGGTATAGAGTTTAACTATGGTACAGAGTGTGTAAAGCAGGTATAGAGTTTAACTAAGGTACAGAGTGTGTAAAGCAGGTGTAGAGATTAACTAAGGCATGGCACAGAGTGGGTACATCATGTGTAGAGTTTAACTAAGGTACAGAGTGTGGTGTGTAAAACAGGTGTAGAGTTTAAGTAAAGTACAGGGTTGTAACCGTGAGTGGTTCCCTTATTTACCACTATAATGTCTTAAAGCATAGAACTTAGTAGGGCTAACCATACAGATATCTTAGCCATAATTTTATATAGTTAGTAAGAGATCCTCTATTTAACATATATAAATAATTGAGAATAAGATATAAAATAAGGATTAGAGTTTAAGTAAAGTACAGAGTGTGTAAAGCAGGTGTAGAGTTTAAGTAAAGTACAGGGTGAGTAAAGCAGATGTAGTGTTCAAGTAAAGTACAGAGTGAGTGAGCTATAGGTGAGTGAGATATGGAATGTAATTCTAATGGCAAGGGGCTAGCCTGTTATGGATGACCCTCAGATGCTTTTACTGATACTTACTTTTCTTTAATTTCCAGTTTGACGAAGGCATGAGCCAATCCATTTCCTGTCTTACAGAGTAGTGACAACCCTTCCTTCAGCATTTCCTCTGTGATGGGAACGTGTGGGAGCTATGTCCAAAACAAAAGTAAATAGTGACATCAAGTCAAACACAAAACACTAAACTGCAATAAACACCCCATAACCTAATCAAACATGGATTTATTTATATGTACCCCCAATAAAATGTTAAACACTGAGAATGTACCTCTAGTATGGAGGAACACATTTCCTGGCTGGGAGATTTGGAAATATGGGGTTACCAAGGTTCACCAGTTTCTGGCAATATTAGTATGGGGTATCCTTACATACAACAAGGTTCTGATTGGAGTTATAAATTGACTAGGGTAAGTTTGGTAATATGGGGGTGTAGGTTCAGCCTGAGCCTCTGGTATAGAGATAACATATGTACTTAGGTTAAGGAAAGCTCTAGCATGGAGACAAGCATGTCTTGACAAGGCGATGAGCATGCACAAAGCTTCATCAAGGCTCAGGGCAGAAATAATTATGTACTAAGGTTCAACAGTGACCCACGCATAAGAGTGTAGCAAGTTTAAGTTCTTGAAGTGCATGTAAAGGGTGTTCTACACTTCAAGAAGTTTTAGCATACAAAAGTATGGTGACGTGGGAAGTAGTAAAGACCCAGGCATGCAGATAATGGTTTATTAAGGCATTGGCATCTAGATACTATGAAATAAGGTTGAGGAAATCTCTGACATGAAGATCTGGGTGTACTATGGTTCAATAAGACTCTTGCATGGATATAAATCTATCTTAAGTTATAACAAGACCATAATGTTCTAATTTACTCTGGTCACTCAAGGAGTTATTGTGTTCAGTAGCTGCAGCTATATATTTTAAGCCCTTAAGGACCAAACTTCTGGAATAAAAGGGAATCATGACATGTCACACATGTCATGTGTCCTTAAGGGCTTAATAGAGAGGTGAGAAAATCACTAAGATCTCCTTGTTTGCTCTACGTAGTGCATTGCTTTTATAAAGCTATGCACTTATCATTTTCCAAAATAACCCTTCTTCTCACCTCCTCCTCTGGTTCTGGCTCCTCTGCCCCCTCTTCCTCTTTATCCTTTTCTTCCTCCTCATTGTCGTCAGGATCCAGTGTCACATCTGGATTGGCCCCCGACTGTGGTTCCTCTGTTTCCTGCTCCTCTTCCTCAAGCACTTCATCCTCAGCATCAGACATGTTCTAGGAGGAAAAGTTGGAATATACAATGAGAATAATGGGGAGCAGTAGGGAAAGTGAGAGCCTTTGCTAATGCTCTGTGAAATAGTACAGAGGCCACGATGACAGAGAACATGATCATTGGTTATGGGTAGAGGCCAGGAGTTATTATATAGTGGGGTGTTATCAGTCTTGGGGTTATTATATAGTGGGGTATTATCAGTCTTGGGGTTATTACAAGGTAGGGGTATTATCAGTCTGGGGGTTATTATAAAGTGGGGTATTATTAGTCTGGGGGTTATTGTATAGTGGGGTATTATCAATCTTGGGGTTATTATAAAGTGGGGTGTTATTAGTATTGGGGTTATTATATAGTGGGGTATTATCAGCCTGGGGGTTATTATATAGTGTGGTATTATCAGTCTTGGGGTTATTATAAAGTGGGGTGTTATCAGTCTGGGGGTTATTATAAAGTGGGATGTTATCTGTCTGGAGGGTGTTATAAAGTGGGGTTTTATCAATCTGGGGGTTATTATAAAGTGGGGTGTTATCAGTATTGGGGTTATTATATAGTGGGGTGTTATCAGTCTGGGGGTTATTATACAGTGGGGTGTTATCAGTCTGGGGGTTATTATAAAGTGGGGTGTTATCATTATTGGGGGTTATTATACAGTGGGGTGTTATCAGTCTGGGGGTTATTATAAAGTGGGGTGTTATCAGTCTGGGGGTTATTATACAGTGGGGTTTTATCAGTCTGGGGGTTATTATAAAGTGGGGTGTTATCAGTCTGGGGGTTGCTATGGAAAGATGGGGTTCGGTGGGTATTTGGGGGATTGTTCGGTATTTGGGACAGAGAGTATATTTGCCTTTACTTACTGTGCAGCGCAATGTGTTTCTATGGCAACGAGTCCTCCAGGAAGTGAGGGTGCGCTTCCTTGGTTACCATGGAGACCAGCAGGAAGAGTGTTTTAGCGTCATTTAACGGGCGGCGCCTATTCAGTTGGAAATGGCGTCTGATCGCGTGATGTACCGCCATGTTTGTGGAGACCATTCGGGTGACATGCCGCCATGTTTGTGGAGCCCACTTCATGCCTTCTACCAAGATAATCCCACCTCAACCAAACTGAGCTGATCCCACCTCTCCCCTGAACCCCAAATTCATATAATGACCCCGATAAATGTCATCCATAATATCTCCATTTCAGACTATCCCCAGTACAAAATGGACAAAAGGTGGAGCCTTAGCTGGCAATGCATCATGGGTGTTGTAGTTCTACATCAGCTGAGTACCTTCCTAACTTTAGACCAACTCTCTGCTTTATGATGTTTTCCAATACAAGTGATACACTCCCTCCCCTCTTTTTTTTTTTACTACATTGGATGAGAAAGTCGAAGAAAAATAAAGCATTATTTGCATTTTCATCAATATAATTTTTAATACATATAAATATTTTTTTAACAAAAGAACAGCAATCCATGAGTTAAAACCTTGCAAATTTAGGCCCAAATACCAGAAATGTAAAC